GCCCAACTCTCATGCCATTAGAAAGAGGATCATGAAAAACCTATAAAAAAATGGTTCATGAAATTTTAGTTCACTCATAAAGCTAAAGTCCGCCTGCTCTAGCAAAAAACGCCCACTGTGGACCAGGAACTTGATTTTTCAGAAGCCAACCATTTGAAAAATGACTAATTTTAAAAACAAAACTTTTTCAATAAAGTTTATTTTTCTCCATCCAGTAGATTTCCCGCAAAATGTAAGTCAGTGCGTTTTGTAGAGCGCACAATTCTCTATATAATGAGCTATAAAACTTTCTTTCACAACCTCAGGAACATGTTGAAAAATTGCTTGCAGTTATTACTATCAAAGTAATTGTACTATCATTTCTTTTAAAAGTGCAATCTTTCGTGAAAAAAACACACTTTTTATATTAAATCAAGTACGCTGATGAAGGTACAAAGCATTTTACATAGATTATGAGTGTTAAACTCAAGCCGGTGTCTTATAGGTCCTCTGATTGCCGTTTTTCAAGTTACTAAATAGGACCAATCCGTCTAACAGGACGTACAATACTCCTTATTTTTTTGAAGGCTGCTTTATGTAGATCAAGAGCAGAAAACAGAGAAGAACAGTGTTCCTCTTTAGAGTTCTGATACGCACGTATAAAGAAGAACTGGAAGAACCTGGGAAGCGTTCATGTCTCAATGGACGTATCAAACAAAACCACACGCTATGAAACAAAGTAGCATTCAATACAAAGTACTATCAACAGTCGAGCGAATAGTAGACGACTTGGCTGCGTTCACCTAAGGACATCTCTCCAAACACACATTATTCGCATACTGACGTAAGAGTATGGCGGCAAAACTCAAGCATTATACCTAAATGTTCTACGAATGCTGCTCCGTGGAAAGATTCCAAAATGAGCACCAACCAGTAAAGCGTCTTTTTTTATGAAAGCATCGGAATTTTCATTAAAAATTGTAATGAATATCCTTTTAATGAAACTTCGATACACCATTTGAGGAGTGCTCGACAAGATTTACTGTTGTTCTACAGAAAAGGGAAAGAGAAAACGATCGAAGCTAAACATGTTTTATTAAAAGAGTATGCTTACCTCGTGTATTCTTTATATTGTATTTCTGCTATCTTGCGTACATCAATGAAAATCAGTTCTCATTCGCCTGACACTTCTGATCTCATTAATCATTTTCCGAACATATTGCATGTTGTGTCCTCTATATATCAATTCATGAATACTAATGACTATTATTCAAGGTGATATATTTTATTATAAGCTATATATTAAAGAAGCATAACAGATTTATTTGTCCTTCAAAAGAGAGAATAGCAGTCCATTATTATTAGTCAGAATAAAAACGCAAACAGCTCAATTCTAATTTAGTTAATTTATATAGATTTATACAAACAGACGCGTACATAAGTAAAAACAGAGTAATAAGGAAAAAAACGTTGAATAACTATCGTATGGAAGAACAAATCAGAACAAGGTCGTTGACTCGGGATAGCAAACGCACTTTAAATGAAGCGAGACCTAAGTTAGAAAAGTCAACTAGTCAAGAAGGGACAATGAATGGACATAGTTAGTCATTCTTGGAACGGCGGCTGTCAGAGACGTAAATTGCGGGGAGCGTGGGGGAGTGTATACCCCCAAAAATAAAAATTTGTCCTTTCCTCCCAGCGAAAATTACAATTTTTTTTCGTTATTTTTGGTAGCACAGTGAAAGTTTTTTTCCTTACTCCTCCCCCCAGAAAAATATTTTTCGCTGCGCGAAGCTTCAAAAAACTTCTTGCATCCTCCCAAAGTTGACTTGCTATTTACGGTCTTGGCGGCTGTTCCAGTCGTCGAATAATCATCGAACATGATTTTCATCACTTAAAAAGAAAAGAAAAATGATGCTTATGTAACTATCTATTTAATAGAGCAAAAAAAGTTTAGTGTATCGAATAATACCTAATTTCTTTCGCGCTTTTGTTTGGTAGCAGTAAAAAAGTTGCGAAAGCTCAACTACATTCTTTTTGAAATATTTCTCACCTTCCCGTCAGTTATTTTACACATGCTCTTGTTTGTACGTACATAGTACACGACGTTGACTGTTTATGCTCCAAATATGGACTCTTATTTTTTCACATCACAGTTCTCATGCTGCCATCAGTTTTTTGAATTACTTTTTTTTCAAATCCATAATATAGACTGTGAAAAAAGATTTATATTTGAAATATACACGCTATCTTTCTTTTTTTTTTCTTTTTCGTAAAGTGAAAACTAACTGCAAAGCAAAATTCGCTTTTACATATAGCAGCCAAAGTTTAACATTTACCGTATTATATAGTTAATTTTCCTGCGAAAAATATGTTGTTACTAACTCAGTGAAGTAGTATATGGATAAGACTAATGTGCCACTGCGATTCTTGACTCATAGAGCGTAACTGTGCATTTTGTACATGCCTAGTCTATCATTTACTTGTACCTTTTTTTTGGTTTATTTCCTGCATAACGGAAGCCATTAAAAATAATTGAACGCGTGGAATGCGGACGTGGACTACGTTCCACATATAGAGAAATTTATTCACAACTATTATTTCAACCCATACTTTATTCGCTGGGCGTACGGGTACACTCCGCTTTTCTTACCGAAGTGTAAGCGTACGGTCCTCTTTTTAACAAAAGCGTAAGCCACCAGTAATTCAAAGTTTTAGTGAATTTTCTTTTTCAATAAAACACACATATTCTGATTTGCCTTTAGCTACTGATCACGAATATGACCTTCGTTTTTCGTTTTGATGGAGTTTTCAGGAAGAAAAACGCAAAATATTGAGAAGGTGTCAAAATTCGAAAACAAATGACTTTTGAAAAGACGCATTTTCCCCCTCTTCGTTCAACTTTGCGCGCTTACCAATATGATATTTGGGTTCCTCGCGTACAAAATCTGACATCGATGATGCTACGTTGGGTCAACCTAATTTTGCAAACCTATCTAGTTTTTTTGGTTGATACATAGACCTTCATTCTTATATCATTCGAATCGCCGTTTCACGCGCTACAAAAACTCGTATCGCTTTTTTCGAAATTCTTTTTGATTGTTGACAGAATTCATTTTTTCTAAATATGCGGCGAAAAAGTCCAAGTTCTGCTCATAACTCTCGATTTTCTCAATCAGAACTCAACTTCTATGTAATAAAAATATCATATTCGGAATCCGGATAGAAAACTGAGTCGATTGATGTGTATCTCTATCCTATCTGAGCACTTTAGTTTTTATCAAATTTTCACGTTGCAAACCGAGATTTTCACCAAAAAATATAAATGAACTAAAGATTTCAATATACACATTGAAACGCATTGAAGCAAAGTATCTTTGGGAAAAATCGAAAATTCCAAATATTAAAAACTCATTTCAAGGCGGATCGACTTCAAACTTTCACCTCCCATACAATAGACAGTCTTCTACAACTTTCCTACCAACACTTTTTCAAGGCGGCGTTTCGTGCGCAAATAACTTGCGCAGGGACTCGACAAGTTCGGTACTCTCTGCCATTTGCCATTCGCATCAACTCCATTTATCTAGTATGCCAATAAAGAAAGAAAAGGCTAGGTAAAGCGATGTAACGTACAGAGGAGATTTGCATCTTCTCTGCACACATATGTTGAGGCTCGATGGCTCTAATACCTTCGAGCAAGAGGGCGCTGCAAATTATTGAGCCCAAAAGCGTAGCAGGACATAATAAACTTTATATAGTAAACTTCCTCAAAATATAAGTGCTACAAAAGTCAGTCCTCTTTGTCCTCTATCTCACTTTCATCATCTGAGCGAACATTTGAGAGCAGCTTTTCAATGTCGAGTGAAGTGGTCTCAAGGAAGTGGAATGTGGCTTTGTTCTTCTGATATTCATCCTGTTGAATTCCATAGTCTCAATGTGTTTTCCATGTTCAATATATAATGCACACCCAATACACTGAGACTGTACAGCACGCAAATTCATAGGCGGCGCGCCGTAGTAGCGAGGGGTAATAGAAAATTATGGGTAGCAATAGAAAGTTATTGCTACCCCTAATAACACATATTCTGGGAGTTGTTAGAAGAACGCTTAGGTACTGCGAGACTTGTCTTATTTTCTTAGACTGTACTTTCATCGTGTATGCATGACATCTGTTTTTGTCAAATTTATCAAATTCAAGGCCGATTAGCGTTACACGATTGGAGAAAAACAAAGACCACTCTTTCGTTTCGCTTCGTGATATAGAGATCTTGATCAGCTTCCACTGTTTTGTATTCAATTCGGTTTCTTTTTGATTTGGTAATTAAACTTTTATATATTTGCTAAATGTCTGATAGAAATAAACTCTCATATTATTTTACGAGAAAACCAAGAAATTTATTACAAGAATCAAGTGATCCATCTCATAGTGCAATTACAAACTCAGATATTGTAAATATAAATGAAACAAGTGTATTAGGTGCAACTTATAATGTACCACCGTCTTCATCAACAACTTCTACTCTTCATGATCGAAATGAAATTAATGAAACATTTACTGATGAAGTTTTATTAATAGCAACATCAACAGCTGATACTTTTGAACCACTGACTAATTGTATAAAAAATGATTCGTTTAAACGAGATCCAGGTCGAGGACCAGCTCATAATAAAGAATTTCTATTATTAGGACCATATCAACCAAATATAAAATATCCAACAATTAATCATCGTCATTTTTGTTTTAGTTGGTACGAACGGTACAAGTGGCTTGAATTTAGTGAGATAACCAAAAAAGCTTATTATTTTGTTTGTCGATTCGCGTATTCAGAAGGTCGATTTGAAAGAGGTTTTACTGTAGATGGTTTCGATACTTGGTCGGTGGCTTTAATCAAATTCAATAAGCACCAAGTAGCATCATCACATCGAAAT